CTCCAACAATGAGAGCTACAATCAAATAGCTTTCACGCCGACGATCGAAAACGGCAAATATGAGACTTTTCACACGGATCGAGAAGAGTTACAATTCGACGACACTTCCGACAGCTGATGAAAACTCTGTTCAGTGGCCTTCACAACCAACAGTGAGAGTTACAATCTGACGACTCTCATATCCTATAACAGGCAAAGATCAATAAGCAATAGCCTTTGCAATGTTATAATGGACGAAGTTACAAGTCAACAACCTCTCTCAAACGCAGAAATTCACTTCTGTGTTTCTCGAATTCAAAAACGCACACAACCTGTGCGTTCCTCAGCGGACATTGAACTCTGTAACGCAGAGTTAAATCATGAAACACACACACCCTGTGCGTTCTCCAGCAAATATCTAACTCTGCAACGCAGAGTAATAGACTCAACTATGTGCCCCAAACTCTGGACGCAGAGTTGAACTTCAACGCACCAGCGACCTGTGCGTTTCCAATTCCAGAACGCATGCGGCCTGTGCGTCTCAAATCTCTAACAGAGATTTAACTCTGCGTCTCAAGCCTTGGACGCAGAGTTAAAGTCCAGAACGCCAACTGAGGCGTTTTGACTTGTTCAAACACAAACCGAATGGCCTCAAAACCAACAGTAAAACCACATAAGGTTAAGGTGAGCTGGCATAAAAACCGCTTAAGGTCAACAAATCTCAGCAGTTCAACAACACGAAGGAGGAGATCTTTTGAAGATCAAGGAACTGATCAACGATCAGTTAATCAAATCCCAAAGGATCCTTTCATCATTTTCTGAGATCAAAACCGCAAAGAGTTGAGGGGAGCTGGTATCAAAACCACCCAAGGTCAACAAATCTCGGCAGTTGAGTAATCGGAAGGAAGAGATCTTCGGGAGATCAAGGAACTGATCAACGATCAGTTAATCAAATCCCAAAGGATCCTTTCATCAAGGGCATCATCAACTTGGCAATTAACTGAATCTTCGGTTCCAACAACTCTTTTACAGAGTTCCAACTCACTCTGAGTTTTGAAACTCATTTAATTGGCAATTAACCGAATTTTCGGTTCCAACAACTCTGTTTTAGAGTTTTAACTCATTCTGAGTTCTTAAACTCGTTAAGAGTTTTTAATTAGCTTGTAACGCAAGTTAATCACATCAAACCAGACATTCGGTTTTCAACAACTCTTGTCAGAGTTTTCAACTCGTTCTGAGTTCTTTACACTCGTCAAGAGTTCTAAACCGAAGTCATCAAGCCTTTCAATTGTTCCAGTGAAGTAGGACGGTCGGATCGTCAACGGAGAGCAAGTTCGACGCGATCAATCGAAGGAGGCACTCCACCGCTACCAAGAAGAACCCAGTTTTAAACAAAGGGGAGAATCAAATTCATTCTCCTCTCTTTTGTAATCGGAATCCAAATTGTAATTGATTTTGAGAGAATACAAGTCAATTTTTCTTTCATTGTCTTTTTACTGCAAATTTCCAACAAACAAAAGATGGCGACTCCGCTGGGGACAAGCTTCTCTGATGAGGAAGTGGTGGCGCAATCCGACGTTCACCTTACTGGAACCACCGTCGAAACTCTCGTCGTAGAATTTGACCAAGCCAAATATGAGGAGGTCCTCTCCTCTGGGTCGCTTAGCCCTAAAGCTAGGCGTGATACCCACAAGACCTCTAAGGAGGTCATCACTGCTGCTGAGATGCCAAAGAAAGCCCTCTCCTTTGGCCAATACCTTAAACTTGCTCTGCGAGTTGAAGACTCCTCCCCCGTATCACTACGGCACATAATAGGTCAAAAGAGGGATGAGGCTCCAGAATCTAGTACCCATGGTTCATGAGGAGAAGCTATGTAAGCATCCATACCTGAAGATGATGCATGAGTAGCCGAATGACTGTTCTGAGAGAGCTCTAGCTGGCGTATCCTCTCATAATCTGCCTGAGAAATCTGAACAGTAGGAACAGTAGTAGCTGGATTACTAGAAACAGTAGTAGAAATAGGTGAGCGAGTCGACTCGGCATCGGCTACTTGGGCCCATTGAGGACGACCAAACTTCTCTCAGCACTTCTCAGAAATATGATTGGTCCTCCCACAGTGACCACACTGACGTGAACCCCTATCAGAATCACCCTGTCTCCCACTAAAAGAGCCACGTCCTCCCAAAGAATCACGACCACGACCACGACCATGACTGCGGCCTCTGCCTCTACTAGAGAACATGGCAGACTGATCCACTGAAGGTGGAGACGGTGCAGAAGTATCAGAAGAAATACCAGTAGAGACCTGCATGACTCTGGAGAATGTAGCAGTCAGTGAGGGGATGGTATCTTCACCCAATATCTGTCCTCTTACCTGGGACTGCAAGTTAGGGTGCAATCCAGAAAGAAACTTGGACACTGTCAAGTCACGGCGATATCCCAACAGCATCGTCGCATCAGCGTCGCATCAGCTACTGCAGGCTGATGCATCTCCAGTTCGTCTATTAGTCCCTTTAACTCACCAAAGAACTCCAGAACTGACCTATCTCCCTGTTTGAGCGTAAACAGTCGCTCATAAATCTCAAATACACGGGAAGCATTCTTCTCATTTCCGTACATAATCTTCAGGCTGTCCCACATCTCATTCGCAGTGGTTAAGAACATAACACTGCTACTAATCTGTGGTTCCGTGCTGTTGAGGAGCCACGTCATAACACAATAATCAGACGAGAGCCAGGAACTGTAGGTGGGATCTGTGGTGGGTGGAGGAGAGGCCAGAAGATGTGGAAGTTTGCTCTGAGCGCCAATGAAGATGCGGAAAGCCTGAGCCCAGAGCAGATAGTTTGTACCATTCAATTTTATTGTAGTCCTCAAGACTACCTTGGCCGCAGAAGTCTGACCAGCAGCAGCAGAGGGAGATGTAGAAGAGGAGGAGAGATCTGTTTCCGACATTGTTGCACAATAGTGGTAGGCAAGTAGTAGTCAAATAATTAGGACAGTAGTAGAGATATGTTCTTTAAACATAGACTAAGAGCAGATCAAAAAATAAACAGTAGTAGATGACCGGATAGGGTCATGTGTGGCCTTGAATCACCTATTCAAGGTCATGGAAAAAGAAGGGACAAAAACAAACGTCATGGTACTGTAGCGGCTCGGTACTGTAGCGACTCGGAACTGTAGTGGCTTGGTATTGTAGCGGCACGACTAGTGGTGGTGGTAGTGCCGGCGGCAAGGAGAAGAGGCGGCGGCGGCTAGGGTTTTTGAATGAGGATTTGTGGCGGCTAGGGTTTCAAGCTCTGATACCATGTAGAAAGAGATAATTGAGAGAGCAAAAACCCTAACTTCATTGATTTATTCAGATACTAGAGAGATATATATATAGTCATACAAATAGGGGTATGGTTAACGGGTCACAACCCATTAACCCAATACCCAATAGACTTAATCTAACAGTGATCATTTGAAGCACAGAATTAGATTAAAAGTCTCGAGATTTGGGGAAAATTTATGATATTTTATGTTTCTTGGAATAATAGTGTAGTAACTGCGTGTTGATTACCTTATGAAATTGAAATTCCATCCAAAAGCCTTTCACTATGTAGATGTCACCTCGGTTCTGCTCTTTCAATATGATTTCATGAGCTGTTACATTGTAGGAGCATTTATTTTAGTTCTGTTCTATGCGATGAAAAACATATTATCTAACTTTATGTATATCATGTTATAAGGTATGGTGTGATGAAGGCTATCCACGATTAGTGAAGAGACCTTTAGAAAGTGCTATCACTGGGAAACCTAGCCAACGATGTGCATGTATCAAAGAAAAGGAGCTCGACGGTCCAGGTCTTGAGGTATACAAAGGTTGTGACTTTTTGTCCAAAACGTGTGTGGTATAAATTATATTCCCATTGATTATGGAGGTCCTCTGGTGATTATGAACTCTGTAATCTATGCTGTTGTAAGATAATAAGGTCTTCAAAGTAATTCCATTTGCGGAATGTTCAGGCAGAGTGCGCTTTCTTTTTTATTTTTATATTTTTTAAATTTCTTTCTTGGTGAAAATTGATCATTATTATTATAGCTTAGTAGAACTCTAGGATGTTTATCAAGATGCGGCAGGGAATTTGTGAAAGACTGAATTGTATACCTACATCTTCTTACGGATGTATATAATAACCTGTTCTGAATCCATTTGAAATGCTTTGACTCATAAGTTCATGCTGGATATGAATCCTAAAATTAGATTTGATCTTTTATTGCATCTACATATGAATTAGTTCTATGGAACTGTTATCTTTTCTTTCTAAACATTAATTTTGTTTTAAATTTTATATTGGTTATCTTTGGACCTGACTAGTATTACCTAAAAGTGAAATAACATCTACGAGGAAGGAAAGTGATGTGGAGAAGGAAAAAACGAATATTGGATAATCTAAAACACAAATTTGGATCCAATTAATTGTTTTGGTTGCATTTTTCAAATAAATCCCGCCCCCGCCATTTCTACTTTATATGAAAGCAGACCCAAAATGCGGCTTATTGAACCTAAGTTTCCAGATTACTAGCCGCCGCAGGCTACCGAACAGATGGGAGGTTCCAATATGACTCCTACGGTCTTGGGTTTGATTCTGGGCAGGGTTTAAAAAAAACAAAATCCAGATCAACATGTGTATTCTCATATAATTTTATCAATATTTCCGATCGTAATTCAATTTGACCTCATGTAATTGGTTTTTTTTTTTTTTGGACACATGCATATTGATCATTGCCGAAGAATCTCAAAGAATCCGACAACCCAAGGAGAACTATCCCACACCACCCAAGTACCAAAAAAGAAAAAAAAAATAAAAATTTTTATATACTCGATCAACCCAAAGCTCTCCTTGACATAACAATCCCCGCTACCATTTTGTTCTCAACCCTCTCCATTCACCTATATATGTATTAACCTCATCACAACTCAAACACCATCACGACACAAAAAAAAAACTTCCAACATAAGAACTCTTTTTAAGTTAAACATGGCTCAAAAGGAGGGAGGCGTAGCGAAGAAAGGAGAAGAAGGCACGAAGTTCGCCCTTTCCCTCCTCGAAGAATTCGAACTCCCGATGGGCCTTCTCCCTTTAGCCGACGTTGTCGAGGTGGGCTTCGTTAGGCCCACGGGCTACATGTGGATCGCTCAGCAGAAGAAGGTGGAGCATAACTTCAAACTGGCGGGAAAGCTGGTGAGCTACGGTACGGAGATAAACGGATACGTGGAGAAGAAGCGGATTAAGAAGCTGAAGGGGGTGAAGGCGAAGGAGCTCATGTTGTGGCCACCGGTGAACGAGATTGCCGTCGATGATCCTCCCACCGGAAAAATTCATTTCAAGAGCCTCGCCGGGGTTACCAAGACTTTCCCCGTTGAGGCTTTTGCGGCGGGCCAGTAGTAATTTGGGCCTTTCGATGTGATTAGTGGGCTGGGCTCTTCGAAAGACTTTGGTGACGTGTCGTTGCTTTGATGCTTTTTAAGTGTTCGGTGTTTAATGGGCTTATAACTGGGCCTGGTGCTGGGTTGTAGGCCCAGATTTGATAGTTAAGATGGAAATAAATGTTTTGGCTTGTCGCTCGTGGTATATTTCTAGACGTTGTTTGGAATTTGTTTAATGAGCAACTTTTCTTTTTTTCGTTTTCACGAGGGAACTTCCCAACAATCTTTCAGATCAAGACCATGGGTCAAATCCCCATATGTGGAATGGGGGTGGAAATGAACTGAGTTCGAATTGAATGCCCCCATATTCGTATTCGTATTGTATGTGACTATTTGAATTCGTATTCGAATTCAAAATGAATAGGAAACAAGTGTTCGAATTTGATTCGGATAGTATTTGAATATTTTATAGCTATTCGCGAATATTCATTAAGAGTGTTTGGGTAATCTTTGCGAATTATTTGGTAGATATTCGGTAAATATTCATTATTTGAGTCTTGCAATTGAGCTAGACATGATAAACCTGATGAATATGGAACCTAGTGATATATAATATTTACAAAATAAAAAAACTATTTATCCACATTGCTAGTAAAAAAATAATATTTTAAGGACAAAATAGTATAAAGGAATAGCTTATTAAACAAACCAATCAAATATAGCATGATTAAATTCTATTCATTTATGAAGCGAATAATAAAAACTATTCGTTCATTATTAAATGAACTACCAAATAGAATCTGACCGAATGTTTAAGCTAATAAATATCGAATTATTTGTTAAATATTTGGTTCATTTCCACCCCTGCCAACACACCAACTCGGGTATTACAAGAAATTAAATTCATGTACTCTCTAGGAGAGTCAAATCTGAAATACTAGAGTGCTACAATAGACAACTTACCTGCACAACTAGACCATCTTGAGCATTTAATGAACATGTTTGTTACATACTATTTTCACCCGCAAAGGGCTAGAGATACTGACTTTACTCAAATGATAAAGACTTGTTTTATCGCAAGATCTTGAGTCATGGCTGTTCATAAATACCTCGCCGCGATATGTATATATATATGTATATATATTATAATATAATACTATATATATATATATATATAATTATATATATAATATAATATATATATACTATATAGTATATATATATATAGTATATATATATGAAGAGAGAGAAGAAGAAATGTTGTAATGTTGGCACCAAAACTAAAATGTTATACTTGATATTCGAGTTATCCATTCCCTCCGTTCATGTCAAATAGTTACATACTCCTTATCCTAATGCATTCTTCTTCATCCATGTGAATAGTCCCCATTATTTGAAGTGAGTGGAGATGATTATTCACCTGCACTAACCAAACACAAATTTTATCGCTTGTACAGCACATAGCCCATTTTTCTATATTAATATATATATATGATATAATATATCATATATACTAATATAGAGAGAAGAGAGAAGAGAGAGAAAAAACGTGAAGCTCAACCTCCGTTTTCTCTCTCGTTCTCTCTCTCTCTCTTCTATATATTATATATCTGATATATTATATATATATATATATATAGGAAAAAAATGAATACTAAGGTCACCACTAGGCTCCCGACTAAAGGACGCGGCGTAAAATCAATCATTACCATAATAGTTTTTCGATCCGCATCCGTTTGAACTTGATCTATCACGTTCTTAAAACTCAAACAACACTCAATTTTGGGTGAACCGTAGCGTTTTACCCATGTCGTTAAAGTCGTCCAAAAAGTTCTATTTCATCGATCGAGAACCGTAAAATTGCGGCGAGTGATGAAGGTCAAAAACACGACGGGTTTACCCCAAACCATGTGGTTTAGGTTTAAAAACGTACTAACTCAAAGTTCAACGGAGCGGATCGTAAAAAAATATAGGGAATGATGTGACTTTTTAGTCCGCGTCTCTTAAGTGTGAGGCCCTAATATCACCTTAATTCACTTTTCCCATATATATTATAGCTATAATATATATATATAATATATATAGTATATATAATATAATATAATATAATTATATATATATATATATATATATATATATATGTATACGTATATATTTATATATAGAGGAAAACTCTTGTCAACTTAAGTTGATAAGGGTCATTGTCCACCAATGTTTTAGACCGTTGGATTAAGTTTTAATATCAGATTTTGTTTAGATGATGTGGCATGAATTAATTGCTAGAAGGGGTATTTTCGGTAAAATAAATCCACACAAAATAGGAAATCTATCTTAATATATTTTGCAGCATAAAAGAAAACCAAATCATCACCGCCTCTGTAGCATGAAACAAAACCGAACACCGCCTTCTTTCAATCGCCCCCAATCATCACCGCCTTCCGATTCCATAACTACCAAGTAATCAGCCCATAACTCCGCCGGCCAAATAATTCGCAGCCTAAAATCAACCGTCTACTTCCAATGATGGCGGTCGAAGCTCTTCAAGCATGGCCTTAATCTGCTTCTCTCTAGCAACTCCACCCTCTTCGAGTAAACTTTTGGCCAATTGATTCTGGGGTATTTCAATAGCCGCCTCGCCTTACCGAAGATCGGCATCAGATTTTAGTTCCTGCAAACTATCAATCTTAATTTTAATTTTCAGGTAATAATTTGTAGTTCCATATCAGTATCCATCCTCTCCTTCTCCAAAGCCCTCGACCCAGCTCTCCCGCCGCCCGCCGCCTACCAACTCTCTCTCGCTCGTGACCTTAACCCCCATCACCGGCCAACTCTCTCTCCGCCGCCGGTTAGAAAACCCTCCGATGAGAGGCGAGGAATTTAGAAGGAAGGTCGGGGTGCCAGACAAATAAGGATATTCTATTATCGGTTAGAAAATCCTCTCGCTCTTGTGACATAAATAGTTTTGATTGATTGAGTTGAATGCTGGTGCAGAATGAAGGAAAAATTAGGTTTTGAACCCTCTGACAAGCAGTTGGCATCATCACTTAGGATGTCGTATTCTGAGCTACGTTCAAAGTTAATTGAATGTTCATTAGCAAGAAGGAAGCTAGCGATGAGCAATATTCGACTTGTTATGTCCATTGCCCAAAAATATGACAACTTGGGTGCTGAGATGGCTGATCTTATTCAGGTAATTGAATTTTCCTTCAGTGTTTCCTTTTGCTGTAGTTCTTAGCATTCTGTTTTGACTAAACCTGCTAGAAATTCTTTCAAGTAGGTGTTGCTCGGCAGTGCAGGAGCTTGGGAAAAACCCTGGCTGCCTCTGTGCCGTTATGCATCAAACACTGCAAGAAGTGCCGGAGTCAAACCTGAAACAGCCATGGCCATTCCAAAGAGATGCAACCTCGCTTATCGCCCTGCTGGCTATAAGTGTGGAGGTGAGTTTTTGATGTTGATATGATGTAGTAGTAGTAGTTTAATTGTCAGTTTCTCATCAATTCTTATGATTTGAAAATGTTTGCAGCTTATACCTTGCCCTAAAGAGGTGAAGGGATCCACTGGAGTGAAGGCTATACATGTTGCTCTACTCCTGACTCTAAATAAAATACCAGTACTACTATTGCTGTGTAATATGCCTGTACTCTGTGTGAAGCATGTGCTGACATAAATAATGATAAGATTGGTGTGTGCAGTATTATTGGCTTTCAAATGCTGATCTCATACAGTTTTACCAGAATGCTTTTTCCTCTGCAGTGAAAATTGTGCGTTCAGGATTATCTGAACCAAGCAAGCATTAACAACAAATCATGTAGGAAGCATCAATGAGGAAGAAGAGGAAGATCTGGAAGACCAAGAAGACGAGGATGAAGATGTTGAAGAATATTACTTTAGTTGATAGTTGATGTTGTTAACTGATCTCAATTGTAGTAGATTTGAAACTTTTTTTTTCCTTTCACTTAAGTTATGTTGAAAGGATGGAATAATGAGTCCTGATGGTGTACATTGCACATGAAGATGGACGGCTTCATACTCAAATTCTCTTTGCTTTTCTATTTTCTTTTGATTCTATTTTGGGGAAGGCATCTGATGTTCTTTAAGCATGATTATTTTTGGGGAAGCATGCTGATGTCTTTAAGCACAGTTTTGGAATTAATATAGCTACTCTTCGCCTCGAACCCGCTATTGTATAAATAATTCGCTTTTGGTTGTGGCCAGAATTGTATGTTAGCTCATTGATGCTTGAAAAGACAAAATAAATGGTCCATAATTTTTTCCGAAATGTTCTATAATAAAGACCGAAATAGAAAAAAAAAAAAACAATGAAACAAATTTGGTTTTCTCCCATGATCCTTTATAGAGTGAAAAATTGCTTCAGTTGTAAGCAAGATCCACGATTAGCGCAAAAAAAAGTTTAAAGAAGGCTAACAGCTCATATCAGAACAAAGATTGGTGATCAATGATGTAACCAATTGCAACCATACACATGCTTCTCATACACTTTTTAGCAGATAAGTTGGACAGAGGAAGTAATGTGGGGCAGAGAGCAACCAATTAAGAGATTGCTTTTAATATACATTGTTGTACGCTGACAACGGACGCATTTACTAAAGTTTTTGGCACGACAGGGTCCTATGCACATCTCCACAGTTTCTTCATCCAAACCAAGTTGGGAAAATTCATAGATGCATGACTTGAATGCTTAAATTTTCCAAGACTACGTACCAACCAAACCATCTCATATTGTTAACAACACATCATATCAATGGTCCCAATTTTGGATAGCCAATATCTATACAAATTGAAGATGTCATGACGCGGCAGCTACGGCATATCGCAGAGAGACAAAATGTTAGAAAATAAAATCGACGGATTTCAAGGAAAGTTAGAAAATAAAATGAACAAAACATAAAAATGCTTTTAAAGGCCATAAAGTAACTTCACATATCTTATGAAGAGCTTCAAAAAAGAACATTTACAAACAAAAGAAGATTAGAGATAGGAACATTTTTCAACATCTTCATGCCTCTCTTCTTGATCTTCTGTTCTTCCTCTTCTTGACTTCATTGATGCTTTCCTACATGACTTGTTGTTTGAGCCGTGCACAAATTCATAAAAAAAATAGAAAATATCATACTTTGTATAGGAACATGGTCCCACATTTGATAATAAAAAAGTAATTTTACCTTGCAAGTTCGACTATTGTGGCCTTTCCCTGACATTTCCCACAAGTCTTTGCTTCTTAGCTTCAACTCTGAAGGAGGCTTGAAACGTTGCATGCTTTCTTTTCGCTATTGCGCAATTTGAAATAGGAGGAGCTCATCACGATACAATTATTATCAATTAATACTTTCTTGTGTTTGAGAGCAATGCAGAACCTTGATTTGTGTCATGTCGTCATGCTCGCGATTTATTCTGCTAGTAAGATGCTTTTTTGCCGGCTTCTAATTTTCGCCCATAACTTGATCTATTTTTTTATTGCCAAATTATACAACTCATAGACGTGGAACCATTCTGCAAACTAATTTCGATTACTTTTTTCGAGAACAAACTTATAAACAATTAGAGTCTTTGAGGAGGAATTTTGACAATTCCAGTGCTAAGACATGTGTGTGTATCAAACTTCTTCCTTAGGCTGAGCCTTTGTCCATCTCTTTAAATATATTCAAGAGGTATTTCAAAAGATATCAAGATGCAAAACAATGCGACCTTAAGCACATGCGAGCACCACCATTCCACCTAAATTCAAAACAATTTTACAATTGCAAAGATAACTGTCGTAAGGGGCTTGAAGGGTAACGAATAATAAGTTCTTCTTCTGGCGCAACTGGTTTTCTGAGTTTGAGACTTGCAACTAGTTTGTACAATGCTTTTAGCTCCATTTCATTCAAAAGAAATTGAAAATATCTTCTTTTAGTTGATCCTTGAATACCAGCTAAAAATTGCTCTAGTATAAATTTTTTGTGGCATGCATGCTCTATTGGACTTGGAGACGCAACGAACTTGGCTTGTATTGCAGAGAGCGAAAATCTCTTCCTCTTCTACGTCATATCGATCTTCTAAAGCCTTTTCATATTGCATGACATGAACTCATAAAATTGTTTATGGTTTATTGACCTACTACCTTTGAGAAAGTGCATTGAAACTCGTCGCTTCTTTGTGTTGTAAAAAGACAAAATGAAAAAAAGCACAAATATATTTCTAAGATGATGGCACACCACTTATCTCGAATTTGATACATAATGTTTTAGATGTGTGTTATTCGTTCAACTCCATGCTTCTCTATCATAGTAGTCCAACTTGAACTCAAAATCCTTGGATTGTTAAGGCTAAAATTGATGGCAACTAAAGAAAGTCCTCTTGAAACTTTTCTTTGTGCCAAAAAAATGCCAAGATGCTCGCGTAGCTTTCCAAGAATGTGCCACTTACAAAACGCGATGAGCCCGTATTAGGAAGGACGCTCCGCTTATTGCTTTCCTACAATTGAAGGATCTTGATCTGTCAGAATAGCAAGTAGGATGCTTACGCCAAAACATGCATTAAGCCAATGTTCGAAGACGCCACATGAAGGAATTCAAGCGGCTATCGTCTCTAATCAAAGCACAACAAATAATATAGTTTTGAGAATGGTGGTTTACCCCTGATGAATGGTGCAAATGGCTATAACTAATAACTTTTTGTACAATATGTGGTATGCAAAAGTGGACTGGCATCTCCAGAAATGCTGGTAGCGCATGCCTTGATCTTCCCGTCAACCCAAAACATATTTTTTGCAAATTATTACTATCAATCTGGACTGGCATAAAAGAACATGGGATTCTCAGGCTTGTAGTTTGTTGAAAGGTGACTTAGAGTCTTTCGTTGAGATATCACTAGATCAAAGGAAAGAGACATTCTTTGGCGTGTTGCAAAGTTGCTTAGTGCTCTTCCTCGTAGAATGATAAATTAGCGAACTCCTCCCACGTTGAGATGCAATGAAGTTCGGCGCTAATATGCTTTGTTGAAATATTTTGCTACACGAGCATGGTTTGTATAAGGTCGGCTTCTTCATCTCCAATCTTATCGCGACATCGGACAGAAACGAGATTTTGAGGGGCTCGTACTAATTCATGATGTGCTTCTATCTCAAAAGGATGATATGAATCCCAATTTTGCTTCATCATCCTAATTTTACACGCATACTTGTTTTGCAAACCAGTTCGAATGCTAGAATTCTCCTACGAAGGACTTTTCTCCGAATGTGTTATCCCTAAATAATGCTCCTTCCTTTTGCTTTTATAAAAAGCGCCTCATCATGAGAGCAAGTAAATTACTTGCATTGTGATGACATTCTTTCTCTTAGACAAATAATTAGATCCTTTCTAATCCCAAAACTCCATGAATAGTTCATAAGGCACTATAATAATTCATTGGTTTTTTTTTTTACTCGCAAACTTTTGAACATCATACCTATCTCGGTTCATCAATACATGGCATGTGACTCAATGTTTTCTCTAAATGTCGTCTTCATGTGGCTGAAACTCTGTTGCGGTCGTCTTTTCTATTTCTTCATATGTGCACAAAAAAAAGACCCTGTCTACATATTCCCCTAATCTGGCCATGAGACACACTGTAACATAATGGAAAGATTATTAGATTTCTTCAAGATGGAGAAAATTAATATAGGG